CTCCCGATATTCTAAACCATTCTCCCGATATCTTAAAAAATATATWTTTTTTTGAAGAACTTTCACTATCAATAGCAAAAGAGCCAAACATTTTTTGTTAATAAAAGTTAGGTCACATCGCCCTCTTTTGGTGCAAAGAATATCGCACTACCCTTTTGATCATGTGCTTACGGGACATCCTGTATAACATATACAGGATATAAAACTATATTTAAAGTTTTGGTTTAATTTGATTTATACTAGTACCCCTTTAATTATTTTAAACTCTATTATTAAAATCTCCTTTCGTTATCATTAACTTATTTAGACATGATTATGTTTAAAGTATTGAATGTGTCAAAGGATCTCTGTGGCAAAGTAGCATTTTTTGTTATTTATAACAGTATGAGAGTTAAAATCTGGAGATGAATTTAAATTAAATATTTGCTAAGACATATTTAAAAAACAAAGCAAGAAAAACACTTGCAACCTGCATAATAAAGCATGAATTTGCTGTTGTTTTTAGGTTTGGCATAATTACAAAAAATAATACATTTTATACTGCTTTTTGCAATGAAACGCTATTGTTCGGGTTGTCTAAGTCTGGTACTGATCCATTAACCGACGACCCGATCAAATGATCGGGATCTTTAAAATGACCCGACAAGCTTACTACTAAAGCTAAGTGCTCCAATTGCATGTATTCTTGTTTATTAATGTCATAATTTATTGCAAAAATTTACAGCGAAGCGGTCCCTCTAAGGGACAGTTAAGGTTTTTATTGGCGACGCGCTATTACGTTTCTCAGTAAACAGCTCTGCTTTCGAGCTTTTCAGAAACACTTCCATGGGGCGACAGTCTGGCGCCACTGATGAAATTACGACATTGCTACTTCCGACTATTGGACCGCCCAGGACACATCGATTTATATCCAAGATCCCATAATTTTGTGGCTTTTACACAGGGTGATTCAAAATTGGTGTGAACCATTTTAGAATATGTCACGCACGGTTACATTAAATCGACCAGTAAACTATATTGGGAGAACATGTAGGTATGGTTTACATTCCAAAGTAAAAGTTAGAGTAAACGCTGCCATTGGCAAAAGTAGCATTTTCAGGCATACATATTTTGATATCAATCAACATCAGCATCAATCAACTTATCGTGAAAACCCTAAAATGGGAAATAATCCCTTTGAAAAAAACGTTTTCTCTTGATGCCTGTATTAACCCAAAGTGACCACTATAGGTTTTGAAAACAGCTCTTTAAATAGCAGACAATTACATATGTGAAAATGTTGCTTTAAAAATTATGAAAAACTCAAACAATCCTCAGTATGAACAAACCATCCACCACACCCATACACTCAGTTTGACGGACCTCTAGAAGATATTCACTCCCTTATACCAAAAGCTGATGAATGGCGTGGAGAAACCGCGCTTCGACTGTACCTAACAAGAAACCTCTATAATTAGTTCCTGCATTTATTGGAATTTTTCTGTAGCGTTTACGCAATATGCAAAGTTCATGCAAATATAATAACCTCTCTCCTCTATTTCCTTCAACCTGTGTCAGACCATGGTTGGATGTAGGTGTCTCCTGTAGGTGCTTTCCATCCAGTTCTGTCTTAGGCAAGTTTAACCCAAAACCTTCCCGATTTCTTTTTAATATAGTCCAACTATCGCTTTTGTTGTCTTCCTATGCTTCTTTTTGTTACCTTCGGACTCCTTGTTTGAACCACGTTGACAAATCTTCAGTCGCATATATTGGCAAACGTTAGCGCAAAAATATATAATTTACGTTTTAAAGATTAAGCGAACATTCCAACACCTTCTATAACTGCTGGATTGTCTACTACTCAAAAACTATTACTACGGGTAGCCCTGTTCCGGTGCAAGCATTCATTAAGTTGAACTGGGACTCAAAACCAAATTTCGGGTCCAAAACCTTCTCTTAGATGATGGGCGCTTGCTGATCGATACGCAGCTTTTCTCGTGTTCTCAAAGTTCGCATCGCTCACACTTTATATTTTCCATCTAGACTTCGCTGTTATAAAAACTGTCTATTAATAACATGTTTTGAAAATAAATAATAACCAGAAGTTACCTCTATCTACTACACCGTTTCGTCAAATATTTGATTCCAGCGGAACAGTTCTTTGCTTCGTTCTGTTTCTGCCGGGTATCAATTAATATTTAACATATACGAGTAGATTCAAAAGCCGATTTGAATCTTTAGGAGTATAATAATAATTAGAACACTTGTGTCTAGAATTGATATTTAAAAATATAATTTTCTCCTTGGCTAGAAAAGATATGTATTGCGCGAATTACATTTGCACAATCCGAAAATTGATATACTTCTGTATCGGTGGCTTTTATAATTGCTCAAACGCGGAATGAAGATTGGGCATTTGAATTGTTTGCCTTATGGTTAGCTCCTATTACTGAAAACTGAATCTATTTAAAGCAGCATCAGCTGCTTTTACTCCATACATTTCAGATCCACTTCATACACTAAATTTCTGTATGCATACTATAGTATTTCGACTTTATGTTTCCATTATTTTAAAAATCTACTAGCGCACTGTCACGGAAATATGAATTTTCAGACGCATCAGCAAACACAACATTATTGAAAAAGTTTCAAATTTCTCGCAGTTTGCTTTGTGCCCAATTACAAAGCGTTCGTTGCTTTTAGAAGGCGCTTCCATAAAGCTGTTGGGGCAGTTAAATGTGAAAAGCGTGAAATTAATTCATTTTGATTTTAAATGCGTTGAACAGATCATTTATCAGCTGGTAAGGTTTTGCTAATCTATTTCTGTCTCTGATCCTCAAGCAACAGTATTGAAAACGTGTTTAAGTATTTAAATAAGTAGACAGGCATTTAAATAAAAAAATATATTATTATTGTCAAGAAAGTATGCAAGTGTGTGTTTAGCGAGTGTAGAAAAGTTACAACAAAATGCTTATTTTTGGGAATAAAAATATTTGCAGAAATACTTAACACCAAGTTGGTACAAAGAAAATATTTTTACTCATTTTTAACATTTTTCAAATGATAGCTGTTTTCAAGAAAATTATGTGAATATAATGAAGACGGACTCACGGCCACAAAAACCTTTTACATGCTAATATTCTGTAACTTAAACGAGAATAAGAGCAGATAAAATATAAATTTCAATATTTAAAATTATCATATTTCAAGAGGTCTTTTTATAAGATCATAATTAATCAAATTCAACAATGACAATCTCTCTTTCAAGAAACCTAATTATGTTCCAGCTAATTCAAGCAAGAAAATTAGGCTTTAATGAGCGATGATCAAAGGGCTAATGGCTAAGTAACTCCCTCCGGATATGAGCCAAATTAAACTGCAGAATCCGTCTTCGAGAAGTTCCTGTAAATTTCAGTGTAACGTTGTTTTATTCAAATTGTTTCGGTTCAAGCCAATAGGGTTTGAACTAGCAATTGAAAAAGTTTTACGGTATATTTGTAACGCCATTTATGCAGAGCGAGTGCATGGAACACAATGGAAATTACGACGAAATAGCTCCAGATTGGTAGGTAAGTATAAAATATTAAAACTCGACTCGTTCTCCCTTAGCTGCAAATTGGAGGTCTTGTTTGGCTAATCAGTCAGTCGTTTTCTTGATAATTGCTCGATAGCACGCGATATTTAAATTCCCGCTTTGAATAAAATATCCAACGTAAAAGTACTGATTGTGACATAGTAGCAGGTTGAATACGCACTTTGATAAGTTTTCACTGTCAAAAATTATTCGAATGTAGAATTTCAGGGATCTTGATATACATAAATTTCAAATTCTTTCAAGTTTCGACAGTAGTTAGATTCAGAACGACTCAGAGGAGACTTATAGATGAGCAGTTAGTAGTCATCTTTTGATCTCAGTTTTGTTTTATTGTTTGTTTTCATGGCATTAACCATATTTATAATCTGCCTTGGAATCATTTTATCTGTTAGTAAAACGTAGTTTACTCTGAAGCGCTTGAAAGCTGTAGTCAAATCGGCGAAACACAATTCTGCAAAATGCTTTGGTATTGTACCCATTGTTGTGAAATACTATTGATGGTTTAAATATACTCATTAATGGGTTTCGGTAGACTTCCTAGCATCTTTATTGTAAGCATGTAAACAAAGCTATTTTAAACATATGACTCTCTTCTCTCGTTCTAAAATACTTTCTTTAACCGACGTACCATTTGTTCCCCAAAAATATTAAATTCACACGTAAGAGGTTTGTTATAACACACTGTTAGCTTTGCGAGGTTTGTAAGAAACCAATCAGACCAAGTCAGCCCTGATTGTCGTGTGCAAATTATCCATCGATATGTTGCTGTCTAATACCTTTGAACATCTAGTAAATTTTACGGTTAAGTTAAGTCGTAATATTCAAATAACGTGATTTTGCGACCCGTGCGCCTTCTAGGTATATAATGTTGTTTTTAGAAAGCCCCGTATAAAAATATACTAAACATTTCTGAGGATGCCATATAAAAAAGTTTTAATGCAGTCCAAAACCTGTTATTTGAAAATAGTTATGAAGTTTTATGGACTCTATCGGACACGTAATATATAAATCTAAAAAAGTTCTCTGTCTAAACTAATTTGATGTCCGAACTAAATTAGTGGGAATATTACGAACACAATACGAAAAGCTGGAGTTCAGAAAAGTTTAGACAACCAAAAATAATATTCACTATATGGTTTGACAAATTAAATGTAAAATCAAGTCAGATTAAATTCAAATTTTTAAAATATTATATGGTATCCATAGAGCAACTTTATCTGAGCAATTATAAAGTTTGTTGCAGTTTAGCACGTTCGCAGAGGTCACAGAAACTAACAAGCAAACTAATGTTTTGCCCCTTATGCATGAGCATATCTAACAAAAACGGTTGCGCCTTACTCAGTGAACCATCTACATTGCTCCCCAAAATTTATTAGTCAGAATATAGTTTGAATTTTTCATAGAAGCGCAGTCGCATTTTCCGAATATCCAGATCGCCATCATTCCAAAGGGGAAACAGTTCCCCTATCTCAACTACGAGTATTTCCGAATTTCTTCATAGCTAAACCCCGGTGCGGTGGACAGAATTTCAGACATAGTTCGGTTGCGATTTGTTTCCATAATGCGTATTAGTGAGTTAAAGATCAAATACCTTTGACAAAACATTACCGAAATTTGCAAAATGTGTTACGTAGCATTTGTTTGGTTCCTTGTAATAGTGTTATACTTCCGAGGTAAGTTTTCAATGTGCGCTTACGCTTTTGTACTTATTTATAAGCGCTTTATACAAGAATCATTTGATAGGTTATTACTGCTGTTATTATTAACTAACACAGAAGGATTTTGTTTAAAACATAATCGGGTTAAGAACCAAAATTAATTTGAAGCAGTTTTCAGGTTATTTCATCGTATATTACTTCTGCAAAAACACACATTACTGAATACAATACAAATTACAGAAAAAAAATGCATGCGTTAAAAATTTTTGAAGATACATATTTTTTGAGCAACCGGGTAAATCGTAAAACCTATTAAATTTAAATTGAAGAATATGTAATATATTTTTATAACCTTTGGTTCTGAATTCAATAATTCAACAAATGTTGTGAAGATGAATGCAGAAAAGTTTGGCAGCTATTTAAGTTACCTTTCGACTAACTATGCCGAAAATTCAACATATTTCTAATTAAACTTTAACATGTTTTTGGTTGAGTTGTACCGACCAGCGGAAACAAAACTACCTAAAATACTATGTACATAAATATTAGCAGAAAAAGACTAATTTGTAACAGGATTTTCGTCGACAGTTCAGCCAAATTCCTTGAATACTAAACATCTTCACAACTGTTAAACCTCATATTGACATGTCGCATTATCCAGTCGCAAGATATTACCATACATATTAAATGTGTCGCAAATATGTGGGGTATACCGGGTGCAATATGTGTGTTTGAACCGTATTGATGAAAATACTTTAAATTATTTAGGTGAAATTGAGAAACTTTAGTCAGTTTGCTTTTCTTCAATGTCAAACACTTGTATATTTGCCTATTCGAAAGTGGTCAATGGTTGGGTTCAATGGGTTAAATATATCTACGGTCTGAAATATAAATACCGCGTGGGTGAGGATTGAAATGCCAGACGAAATCCTTGCATAAGAATTTTATTTTATTTTAAACTAAAAGAAAACGCCCAAAATGCCCAAAGACCTGGCTGTAAAAACTATTTCAACCTCAAAACAGCAAGGGAGTGACACGAGATGGAACTCGGAAAGTGTGCAACCTAACTTGATTAACATTAACATTACTTGAAAAACTTGACATTGATGAAGACTTTAATGTCGAATAGGCGATTATTCAAGCAAAATATTCTCAGTCTAAAAAATTTTCAGTGCATTTAAGGCCGAGTACCCGAATTTTGAAGAGAGGAGAATTTTTTGCCTATAGAGGCACATTTTTTTAAATTGTGGTCTTACTATAATTGTCGTTTTGTGTGTGTCCATGAAAAATAAAGCAGAATTTAATTGCAGCTAAATATTCCAAATGACGATCATCTCTAAATTAAATCGAATAATTTTGTTTATTAAAATGGGCCGTTAGGTCTAAAGTGCCCTTCTTTCATCAATGCTCTTAGCGTAGTGACAATAATAAAATTATAATTCAAATTTTACATGTTTTATACTGTTGATAAAAATCGATTAAGGTCAATTAAGGTTAAATAAGGTCAAAATCCTTATTTAACAGTATGTATTGCGTTTATGTTTCCATTACTGCCTCAGATTGATGCGGAACCTTCTATTCTGCTGTAGTCAATAAGGCTGTTATTAGTTAAGAGAAGCACTTGAAAAAGTTAACTAATTTATTCGAAGAAAATTCAACAGCATACGAAAATAAGTGCGCTATAATTTCAAAAAAGCCGAGAAAAATTACACTCCTGGTTGCTCTCTACTTCTACAAAACGAAATCACTTAAATCTCCAATTTTTTCTCAAAAAAAAAGCGTAGCTGTTCGTCTGGTGAAAATCTCAATTTGGACCCCTGACAGCCTGAAGAGCGCTGCTTGGATGATAACAATTTAAGATGTAATTTAAAGAAAAAAGCCTGCAAATGACGCATGTTACCTTCCAGGACAATAAAAAGTGTAGTTCACAACAGAAAGTTAATAGTTTTACATACTAAAAGAATCTTTTCTAGAGAACTTCATGCGTTAACGTATAATGTCTGAGTTTTAATTAGTTTTACAGAACACAAATTTGAAAAATTTTAAAATTCAATCCATAATGCCGAACGTCCTTTGTCGTTCCTTGTCGAATAAATATGGCATGCAGCAATATGATAAAATACAAGTTAATAATATGGAACTAAAAGTTCTATATCTACATGGTAACCAGGGGCAAAGTAATGCCAAACTTACCGAAAGCTGCATCGTGCCACCTGGAAGGGAAGAAAAACATTCTGTAGTATTATAGAAACTTAGTCAAAAGTTTTATTATTTGAAATAAACAGAGAAAATGGAGAGAAAAAAAATTGCATCATCTTCAGTTGCTTCTCTAAAAACTAAATTCGGTCTAAACTAAAGGATTTATAGATTAGAATTCGGTCATACCAGCTTTGTGCATGCTGGCGCCCCATTCTCCATTTTCTACCCATCAATCCTCAATAAACTCAGAGTACTGAGTAATTTTTATAACAATTAACCGACTTGACTATAAATGTTTACTTTATATGTTAATCCGTTGGCTATAATTCCTAGTTTAAGCCAAGATAAATGTGGGCTGTTGTGACCCGCAAGTATATCCTTCTGTCTGCAGTTGCAAATGTTTTGTTCATTTCAAAACTGTTAGAATCAAATGTAATTTTACTATTGGTCATATCCCAAGAAGACGTTAAGTATCTGACTATAATTTAAAAGCCTGCATATTACTTTAAATTTGAATTACACTAGATATTATGAACATTTTTATGAGTAATATTTTAAGTCCCTTTCTAACGATATTTGCAATATAAGCATCGTTATGCAACATAATGTTATAGGTACTGAAAGATTTATTTTACTAAATCCCCTTTTTCAATGCAACATGTTTATATAGTGGGATACAAAAAATTACATTTTGCATTGGTCTTCTCAAATAAATCACTTTTTCCAATAATGTGCCTGCACGTAAAGTGAACGCATCAATGTACTTAAGAAGTTCTTAGCGCAAATATGGGAGAATATTTTAAATATATAAAATAAGACCCATTGGTATATGTCTAAATTACCCCGACATGTGTATTAATTCAATTAGTTTGCACGAATAGCATATTTCATAGTTTATTCCGTGCTCATCGTAGCTAAATCATAAAAGAAGTTGGGTACTCTGAGGAAGTGGATATACAAATGTACAAAATCTCTGAATTTTATGGATTCTGGAAATATAGGTTCTGCTTTCAACTACCAGTTCAACGCTTTAACGACCGAAACAGAGCCCGATTTATCGGTTTCCTATGCCCCCTATTTACATCTATAGGCAAAGCGAATAGAACTGATAAATGTGCATGGGACTGCTTGAAAATTTCGGAATTTTTCAATGATGTGTTTGATTTCTTTCATTTCTTTTAACCGAGAGAAAAGGTTTGATAACTAGAGAAAATTAAGCCTATGTTGTCGATAAGAATGCTGGAAAAGCATCTTTTCATTACATTCCTATTTTTTCATTAGCTTCCTGTATGCAAATTAAAGAATACATCTTACTAGCCACTCATTGAGAAAAATCAACTATTGTTATTGTTGTGTTAAATGTTCTTCGATCATTATACTGAAAGGTCCGGTTTGCTTCTATTTAAAATATTTATACTTCACAAAGCTTGCAATAAGTGGAATCAAGTAAGAACATCGTCATCCTGTTCAAGTGTTTTGATGATTCCTCAAATACCTTGATGTAGTACGAATATTCCGGATCACTTTTTTGCTTCAATCGAGTTTTACCTGGCATAGAAACGGCATGACAAAAAGAATTAATAAAAAGTTACACACATTTCACAATCACCAAAGTATTATTTTAGATGCCCCTCAAATACTGGAAGTAAACTAGAAGAATATATCTTTATTAACCGAACCATTAGTGGGAATACAATTTTCTGAACTTTTCTCTACAAATAAAAATTATTACTGTACATAAACCAATGAACCAAATATTGGTGGATAAGTTGGATTATTATCTAGATAATTGTGGGAGTCATTCAGACACATTATAAAAGTATCCAAAAAAGTTGACATAAAACCATCTGATTATTTTGAAATATCCCTAATCCCAATGCTTCAATATATTTCTCCTAGCTTCAATAATGTCTTTCGAGCGACGGAACGATGTAATAAATTACAAGTCGTTTGTAAGACAAGATAAAGGCATCGTATAATGCAGGAAGTAGGAATTCGTCGACGTCATCTCGATCCATATTTTTTATGGGAAAACTTGCCTGGCTTGCTCTGTCCCGTCTCATCAATATGAATGAAATATGAAGGGTTGCAAGTCAAAACCCCAAGATTAATAATGTATGCTGATATATATCTTCGCAGAAATTAATGAGCGCTATTGCTAAAGAGCCGGTTTTGCTATCAAAAATGTACTTGTTGATCTTCATCATGATGTCAGTATAGGCCAACTCCGTGTCAATCAGTTTTATGTTTCGGGTTATTTATGTTACGTGAGATTCAAATCTAAACAAAACTGAAAAACTGCACCGAATCTTAATGCCTTATTTACAATGAATGTATCAGTTATATGTATGTGTTTTCCTTGCTAACATTACTCAATTTAGGTCAGGTTTTGTGTAATTTTCAGGAAATAAATTTCCTCGGTACTTCTGGCACATCTTATTTTCTATGTTTTAACGTTTTTAACAGTAGCTGTAATATAACGATGACATTTTAATTAAAATTTAATATAACGAATCTTGCATATTCAACGGTTTGTTTTATGGCAGATTACGCAAGCAAATGTTTTTTGTGTCTTAGGAACATTATGATGGAAAAAATCAATAGAGCTGCGAACAAAATGTATCTCACATAGAAACAATCATTCAAGACAGCGACAAAACTCGAAAAACATAAAAAGAGGACGGTCCAAAAGACGATTTTTCAAGGCAAATGGTACCAGTTAATCAGCTTTCTGCAAGCTGCCGCCCTATCCTCCATTTCATATTCATTTATCCTCAAAAAACTCGTACTACGCTTGAACAAACTATAAAGATCCA